AACTATAAAGATCCTTTTATCTTTTTAATACAAAATAGTACAGAAAATTTCTTTTATTTTGCCAGTGGAAGGAAACATAAAAACTTCCCAAGATCTGCTTTCATTTTTCTACAGAAAATCAACTAGCTAAGCTTTTCACTTCAGATCTGAAAGCTTTAAAAGTAATAGTTTGGGTAGATCTCAAATGACAGTGTCATTGTTTAATCCTAGACAGCAATTAAGTACCACACAGTTGCTTGCTCACTTCACTCTCCTTGCAGTGTGCTGGGGACAGAATTGGGAAAAAAAAAGTAAAACTTGTGGGCTGAAGTAAAGACAGTTTAATAGGTCAGAAAAGGAAGAGAAAATAATAATAGCAGTAATAATGAGAACATACCAAACAAGTGATGCACAATACGATAACTCACCATCCACTGACCGATGCCCAGCCAATCCTTGAGACACGGTGCTACCCCCCGACCAACTCCCCCCAGTTTATATACTGGGAATGATGTCATATGGTATGGATTATCCCTTTGGCCGGTTGGGGTAAGCTGTCCTGGCTGTGTCCCCTCCCAGCTCCTTGTGCATCCCCAGCCCCCTCTGCTGGGGTAGTATGAGAAGCTGAAAAGTCCTTGACTTAGTACACACATTTGCTTAGCAAAGACTAAAACATCAGTGTGTTATCAACATTAGTCTCATCCTAAATCCAAAACACAGCACTGCACCAGCTACTAGGAAGAAAATTAACTTTATTCCAGCTGAAATCAGGACAGACAGAAAGTACAATTGCCAGCTGTTGCTGAAGATTTTATCACGACTTGATAAAAGACTGATTACAAAATTCATTCACTCTTTTCTTAACTGTATCAGCTGATTTCATTATGGCTATGATTTCTCCCTAACATTGTTACGCTATTATTACTACTACAAATAGACACTTTAAATATTTTGAAGAGATGGCAGGTAGGTCAGATTAGTCATGTGTTTCATTGGAAAAGACTGAAATTAATGGTAACCAATGGAGCTTTTTTTTAAAGACAAACCAACATTATAAAGTATTAATGGTGCACAGCCTTTTGAGGACATATTTTTCTTGCTCTCTTTACAGGAAATAGAATCACTACAGAGTATGGCATGCAATATGCTTAGATTCTTTCATAAGCAAAAAATCAGCAAAGACTATAGACGGAAAGCAGCATTAGTCTCTTGTGGGACATTACAGGTTCTAGAGTGCAAATGTGAAAGACATAAAAAAGAAAAGGTGAGTGGTACCGATGGTCTAATGGTTTATTGAAAGTATGTGATTTATTCCTTAGAGCTCTTCCACACAGACTATCATATCTACCTCTCAAAGGTACAGCTATCATGCACATGTTATACTCATGATAAATTTTGCTCTGTATAGCGTAAGTCTTTAGCGTGATAGACTTTAAGCCAAATGAAAAGACTAAGACAATGATCTGGAAATCTGTAGTGAGGATATATACTCTGGTTCAGTAGTGAAATACCTGAGTTAATTCTCCAGTAAAAGATAACGACCACACTTGTGCAAAGAAGGCCTTTAACTTCTCTAGTGTATAAAAGCCATAGCTGTTACTTCTCATTGGGGTTCTAACCCAAGATTCATGTTTAATTTGGTCTGTTTCAACTTTTTCTCCCCTTTCCATAATTCCTTGGATCTTTATTTTAACCACAGTATCTCAAATGCAACGAGAACAGTTAAATATGAAAACGTTTGGATTTTTAGTCGTCGGCAGAATCTGCTCTTTGATGTGTCACTGAAATCTAGCACAATGATCTACAGACTACCATAGCAAAGGAAGAGCATTCCTTTAAGTGTGGCTCACAGTTACCTGTTGAACACAAAAATGTCAAAAAGCCTCCCAATAGGCACCAAAAGATATAATTCTTTATGACTGGCTTAAATCGTTGGGCTGAAGACTGCATTTAACTCATTTTTTTTCTCCTTGAAATGGAGAAAGTCTTATAATCTAGGAGGAGATCTTCAATGTAATGCTGGTGTCTGTATTTTGCTTAGGCACCTTCGGTGAATCTGATGTGGCCTTACCATAAAAGGTAGATAGAAATCAGAGTGTCACCCTTGAAACTCCTGCTTAACCTCATGGGTGCCAGGTTTTATTTAAAGACCAGTTAATTTGGTAAAAATTATGAAGAGTCATTGAATATGGACAAGAACCACGGTCCTCTTGTCTCTGGGTGAGATCCTGAACCATAGCACCAACCCCTGGGAACAGGTCTGTCTTGTTTCACCAGTCTCAAGGTACCACACATGTAGCCATATATTTTTAAGGTTGGCTCACAATTTAATTGGCTTCAGTTTCCCAGTCCTTCAAATAATAGAGGATAAATTTTAAACCACTGACAGAGGACATACATGTTCTCAGTTGCACGTGCTGGTTTCATCTGTCCATATTTGCTGTGTGTCAAAGCCACATTCTCCCAGACCGGTGGGCAGGGGTGGCATCAGGGCTATGCTCAGAGCGAGAACATCGCAGGGATGAAGGCTGTGCACCGCCACAGCACGTCTTGTGAGCTGCCCAGCTTTCTGGCTTAATTACCAGCTAAGGTACATCCATTATTTATTGAGATGTAATAGAATCAGTTCGTTTTAAAATATGTCTATATGAAAAGAATAAGCACTTCTCAATTAACAATGCAAACTATTCTTTTTCAGGTTTGCACGCAGGTGAATACACACAATACAGATACAGGAAGTGAACAGTCCAAAAATAAATGTAACCAAGAATTTTGTGAACTGAAGGAAAATATATCTAGCCTTCGATCCTGCTGGAATAAATTTGAAAAGATTTCCAGGTGATTCCAGGTGAATCCTGCTCTTTTCTTTCGAAGTGGCATTACTTGGTATCTTTGCATTTTACATGCATTCTTCAAGTAACTCTGCTCGCTTATATGAACACTTTATGCCAGAATTCTGATGGAAAGCTACTGTACCTCATTCCTGGAGATGGAATAAACAGAAATGGTTAAACCAAGCTGCTGAAGTCCAAGAAGTGGAAATAAAAGACCAGTGTTTGAAACGGAAAACTCTGCAGAAGTCTGTGTCCCACCTTCATGCTCTGGAAACTATTTTGAATTTTCTGATCTTACAAGTAACTTTATAACACTGTCATATGAAAGCAATCGCCTTACATATTTACTGCAATTTCTAAAACCATCTTAGAAGCTGCAGGAGAAGAAAACAGTATGGAAAAGTAGCTGGTTTCTTTATATAAAATGCATCAAGGACCAAAAGGAACAATTTACCTAACAAGGAGCTGATCTTGGGTCTGTTCTGATGATACATTAATGTCTTCAGCATGGGTATCTAATGGATCTGCAAACTGATTTAAGTTTGGAAAAGGTTAACTTTTGAAAAACTTAGGAGGGGTACTGATTTTTGAGAGACGTAGCACACTTCTACTGGCTGAAGCAGAGGCAAGACAGCGAGACCTGTGGAAGGTGACAAAGGAGATGCCTGAACGTCAGTTTGTTCAGCTGCTTGGAAACAACACTAGCCTTACATATTCGGTCATCCTAGAGCTAGCTGCAGGAGGAGCTAGAATTTCTTGCCTTCAGATTGTGATTTCTTACATGCAATTATTTTATATAATGTGTTTAACATGTTAGACAAACATGACTTAAAATATGTGAATATTTTCAGAGACTAATATATTGGCATTTAACTAATAAAATGTTCATATTTAATTTTGGATAAATAGAAGTATTTTTATAGTTGTTTATAAATCTTTTGCAGTTTCTTACTTTGATATCATAACTCCTTTGGTAATAAAACATTTGTTGTCTATGGAATTGGGCTGTTGACTTTTTGGGTGTCATTACTCATTTTTTAGCTTTTTTTCACAGCTAGTCATTAAAAGCACAGCTGGTAACATGACCTCCAGCTGCTTGGGACTTCCCATTATAAAATACCAATTTCTTAGTTGCTTGTAACCTGTTTAGTTTAGGTAAACATTTCTGTACCAGGTATCTGGCTTGGACTAAATACTTTGGAAAATTTTTAGTTAAGTCAGCCTGTTGTTTCCTGGTTCAAAGTAAGTACCGTATATTGTTTTATCTGTGCTAAAAGAAATCTTCCATAGAACTACTCTGAAAAATATTTGGTATTCAGAACAAAGACCTGAAAAAATGGTGGGATGTGCTTCAAAGAACTGTATAGATCTCCTTTGACTGGAATAAAATCACTGTACTGAATCCATGAAACCCAGCATGCCCTACTGGTAATGGGGATGGAAGCGCTTAACAGCGAAGTAAACACACTGTTATGCTTTCCTGGAATAGACCCCGTTCAACCCCCCATCTATTTATAGTGAAGAGACTTCTTGAGGTAGGAGTAGTATCTTTGTAAAACTGTGATTGAAACACATATTCTCTTTAGCTCTTGATGTAAGAGATGGCAACTTTAACTCCAACCACTGGAAAAAAAACAACAAACCCAAACCATAACTCTTCTATGTAACTCTTTTTATGAAAAGGGAAACAGATTTCCCAATATCCTACTGCAGATAAAAAAATGTAACCCATTGTGTAAGGACTTCTCTGGAAATCCCTTCTACTGAAAGAAGTCCCAGGAGTCTGAGGATTAAATTTGTCTCTGAGACAGAATAATAGTTGCATTTTTTCAGAAATCCAAGAACAGTTGAAAGCCAAGATTTGTTTCCCGATAACCACTTGGCAAGGAAAGGTCAGTGGGAATTAAAAGAAAAACACACAGATGCAATATTAGCTACTACAAATCTGGAAATTCAGTCAGCTTAAATGACTTAAGCAGCAGCCCATAAATTAAATCCTGAGGGAAATCAAGCAGTTTCAGGACTATCCTGGGGAAAAGACCAAGATTAGATCCAGAGCAGAAATTTAAACTGAGTGATTATGAAATTGTGGGGTTTTTTTCTGATTGCTCCTCTTAATAGATATCCTGCCTGCCTGATTCATGTCGCCAAATTTCCTGAGTCACCGCTTACATGCAAAGACTAACTGCTAATCGCTGTCACTTGTGCTCTTTGGTTTGTTCTTTCCATTTGAGAACCTTCTCTGGTCTCTCCTGAAATTACAAATGTGACAACAATAAACTGTTCTGCAGGAATAGAAAAAGGATTAAAAACCTTGCAGGGTATCACCACCATGCCTACCTCCCTGCCACTTTATGTATTTGTTTATTTGGCCACAGCAAAAAAGGAATATGACTAGGTCAAAACCATGATTTAGAAATACATGGAATTTATGTGAGGGTGTCAAAGGAAAACAACTTAGGTATTTAAATTAGTGAAAATAATTTTAGTACTATTGTTGCACGGGATTATGAGAAAGCAGAAAGAGGTGACTAACCCCTGTGAGCAAGATAACATTGCACACTTCCAACAGCAAGAATTAGGTGCTCTGTGGTTTATAATAAGAAGGAAGAATTTCTGGTGTTTAGGAAGTCAGATCAAGGAAGGCCACTGGACAAGAATGTTCAAATCTCACTTTACACCACCGAACAGGTGTTTACAGCTGTAGTTCTTTAGCTAAAGATCTAGAAGCAAACATCTCCTGGCTATTTCCTTCCAGTTCTACCTCTTCAGCTTTGTGCTGAGCAAAAGAGCTGTTTGCTTTATGACAGGTTTCATTCAGCAGCTACTTAGGTTTTTGCTGTTTCCTTTTGGTTTTGTTTTGTTGTTTTTTTTTTTTTTTCTCCTGAAATCTGATTGGAGTGGTTCATGGTGAACTAGAAGAAAGAGGAAACCAGCACGAGGAATATCACGGAGTCTCAGCAGTGACAAAGAGATTTTGCAGACTCTTGGCACATAAATGAATTTCATCCAGAATGAAGGGAAAATGTATCTGCCTTCCTCCGGAGAGGGTGTGGTGAAGTAAACAAGAGCCCAGTAGGAGGAACTTTCCTAAAAAGAGGAAATGAAAGAGGAATTGGTCTCTACTTATCTGTATTTAGCCAATAAAATCAGAAATCCAAACCCTTATTACAATTTCTGCTCACATAAAGTGAACTTCACAGTAAAAATATAACTACTGCTTTTTTTCCTGCTTAACTATTTCACCAACAAAACAGTGTTCTAACTTCACAAAGGAGAACAAACCAAGATCAGTCAAGTTATATATTATACCTTACTGCAAAAAAAAAAAAAAAAAAAAGAAAAAAAATATTTAGTACAGGTGTCACAGTGACAGGCTCTATATAAAGTAGACTCTCCATATAGTTAGGAAAAAGAAGAAATACAGAGTTAACTTTATATAAGCAGACCACACTGATTTAAATAACTGGAGTAGTGTATTTTTCAAGGTGACTGAGGAATCCAAATGTCATCTTGCAAGTCAATTAAAAAACCTCTACCCTTTGAAAAGAATAACTACGTCATTTTCTCCCAACCACTAGAAGACAGTGGATGGTCCTTTCAGGTCTGGAGTACATGAGACCAAAGACATCGCAATATTCATAAGGCTGAAATGATGTTACTTATCCCTATGCTATTTTATATACGACAATTTCACATTTGGCTACAAAACCACAGGCATCACAAAAAGTTTTATTGGCATATTCACTTTATTGTTATGTTAACAGATGGCAAATTAGCATTAGGCCACGATTTACATTTATTAATTAAAACAGAACTGACACTTTAAAATAAACATAATATACCAAAAAAGATGAAAATAAACCCAGGAATTCTGCAGAAAAACACTGGATGGTCACAAAGACAAATATTCAATGTACTGAGGGGCAAGGCAAACATAAGAAATGCAATGCTGACAAAATTAATCACTTCAAACACATGAACGAACACTTCATTTAAAAACATGAAACATCAATAAACAAACTTATGCAGATACATACTAAGTATCATATGAAGGGTGAACACCAAGAGTTAGAGCATTCATATAAAGTAGGTATTGTAACAGTCGTGGAATATTCAGCACTTCACAGATCAGACCCAAATCCATTTATGCTTCTGCCAGAAATCCAAATGAAACTAAGATAAATCATGCACTACTATTTAGAACTTAAGTTTAATATTCAGCTATCTTAAACAGAATATTTGATTTGCTGAGTCAAAAGCTGGTGCTCACATTGGGGAAACATGATTTCCCAATTGATTATTTTTATAAAGAAGAAACACCAATTAAGAGAAAATATGAATAAGCTGTTTTCTGGCAACATGAAATGGAATGAGGCTAAGTATGATCCTCCAGAAATGTGTATTCTGGAATGACATAAAAAACCCCAAAGCCACTGAACTAGTATGCAAGACTAATCTCTTATATTATGAATATCAGAAAGAAAATATCAACCAAGTAACTGCTGAATACAGCTAGAGAATCTTTTACCTAACATTTCTTCCAACACTACAAGTATGTAACCCAGACTTTCCTCAGTGAGTTGAAAAAAAAACCTTAACAAAACCAGCAAGAGAACCATCACAATTTTTACCTGAAAGGCAATAAAACTATTTTCACCAGTCACTAAAACCAATTTCACCAAAGATGAAAATTCTACCCTGTAATACAAGCCATATAATTATTTATAGTTTACTCAAACTTAAAAGAATTGAAGTTGCAAAAAGTGCTCTTGCAAAACACAAACGTGACAGACAAGATTAAAAACCCATCTGTAACAAGTTTGTTCTTTTCACATATACAAAATCTAAGTGATGGAAACTAGCACTTCTTGTGAACTTTGCAATACACTGACAATACCGTTTCATTTTATACTCAGAGTAATTACATAGCCTACATCAGTGTGCACTGCTACATGCTTTGTTAATTAGCATTTAAGCTACTATAGTATTTCCTTCCACTGATTTGAAAAGCACGCATCATGAAACTGTTCTGTTTGCACACTGCGTTTCAGGCACTCTCGGTCACAGCGGTGAATTAGGAGCTAGCAATCTCTCTCAGGTGAGAGGGAACTTCCATGACGCTTGAAGACCGGGTCGGATCTTAAAATGCATGTCGGAGTTACTAGCCTGTGAACCTCGCTTCTCCCCGCGGCGTGCGTGGAAGAGCTGGAGCAGGCGGTGCCTGCGGCCACAAGGGCCGCGCAGCGCCCGGAGCACCATGGAGAGCTCCCGCTCCCGCTCCCGCCGCCGACCAGGGAGCCCCGCGGCTTCAGCTCCGCCGACCCACTCACGGCAGTTCAGGGGCACTTGGCGTCTCTTTGGTGAACTGGAAGGGTTCTGCCTGAATGTTCATTTCATAGGGACAAGCTGAAAAGGTGGCAAAGCACCTCCCCCTGCCCACTTCCCTGGAGTGCTGTGTAAGACTGAGGGTGTAATTATTCATGGAACCATATACTTAAGTTGCTGTATATTTAGATTCCAGTTCTGAAACCATCTAGGGTGTATCATGCATAAATAAACCTGTGTAAGATACATCATATAAAGATTAGCCTTAGGCTATGTTGTTTTTACTACTGAAGCTGGTATTCTTCAAAACTCCATTGTATTTGTATGAATATCATTCCAGTGATCGTGCACTCCTTTCTGGCACAGAGATATCCTTTCTGTAACAGATATTCACAAAAGCAGAATAGGAATGCAAACAGCTTCAGGCCAGACCTCAAAAACAGCCTTCTCCTTGTTTGTTTATATTGAATTTACCTTTAACTTTTTTTTTTTTTAATTTACTTTTTTTTTTTTTTAATTAATTGAATGGAAGAACCACAGTAAGCACACTAGGAAGACAGAGCAGCAGATAGTAAAAGAAAGTCTGTCAGTCAGACATTGGTATAGAAATCATTAAAGCAATGACATCAATAAATTTCACTTTGAATGGACAGTAACTATATTAGTCTAGAGGCTTCACAATCCTCCAGTAGCATTCACTCCTGTATCAGCTCTGCTTTAGTGAAACATCTTTTTACATTTGTGTAACTTAGGAGCTCTCACGAAATACACATGTGCTCATGTGCAGACTCTACATGTATATATATATATATATATATTCACACACACAAAGAACTGGAAAGACTGATGCTAAATGGAGTAATCATATAATCCTAATTTTACACATGAACTCTAAGGAATTTAGGCTTTTAAATATCTGTCGTCATAGGATGACACTAGCTAAGTTTAGACACATCAGTGAAGTGCATCAGCAGTGCATAGTTCATCTAGGGGTTTTGTCTTCACAACTATCAGTATTTTGATTATTGAGACATTTTGGAACACTCCCCTTTCAGTATATGTATCCATGTTTTTTCCTCCGATGAAAACCAAGGCATAAAGGCAGGGGGGAGGGCTAGGGCAAGAAGATTTGGACCTAGGTCATTAATAAATTACAATTTGGGAACTTCTTGACACATGTAATACACCTAAAGATGTAAAATTCAGAGTCCATCCTCCTTAACAGGTTATTTTTTTTCTTTAAATATAACATATTTGTTTCCCATATTCATTTCTGCAGGGGCATTATGAAAACAAATCTACTGTTTCCTAACAAACATTCCACTAAGATGGAATTAGTGATCTACGCTAATAACTTGTGTAATACAGTCTATGGTCTGTAACATCAGAGATGTTAGAAACTTGTCATTCAGTAACAAAACCAGTTGATAAACTGGAAGCATACTAGGCCTCTGATAGTCTCACTATACAGTAGTAAACTGCATAGTTAATTATATTTTAATTGCTCATATTTATTGTAGATTTGAACCATACACATTATCCAATTTACTACCAACAGTCATTTATGTTTTATTAGACCTTCTCGTAAGGCCAAATTAAAAGCTCAGGAAATATTGTTAAAATTATTCTTTCAGTTCAGGTTATTTCCCTGTCTAGTCCTTGCTATAAGTCATAGAAGTGTAAATAAAATAAGTGACGTCACTGTGTAATTTCTAAATGCTGCAATTGAAGCAAAGAGTTACACAAACAGCTCAAAAAGCAGAAATTATGGTAACTGTATGTGGATTGATTTGAAACTAGGAAACCTGTCACCTACAATTCAAAGGAGAAAACAGTTTTTTCTAGTTACAGCAATCCTGGAGAACCTGGAAGGTACTTACTTCTTCATGTCCTGATCAAACCTAGACTTGTGTCTTTGCTGCTGGGACACACAGCTTGCAATAATTCAGTCTGTTGACCTCCATGGCCCAAGTCCAGGGCAAATTTTCTAAATCAGGGTTATCTATGCAAAGGATGCAGGATTACATTTTTTCCAAGTACAGATATGAATGTGCCAAAATATGGATGCTAGAACCTAAACTACCTAGAACATAATTTGGCTAAGATTTGTCAGTTCTAACTATCATCCCAGTCATCCATCCTATCATGCTCAGAAGCCAGCTTATGCAAATTATAATAAAACAAGACTACACTGAATGAAGTATAACTTCTAAAACTAATTTTGTATAAAAAGTGTAAGACAATTCCATACCATTGAACTAATTCAAAAACATAATAATTTGTGGCCTGAAACATGACTACATCACGTCTCTTAAATCTCTCCTCCTCTGAGACTGTTAACTGCTTTGAAGATGCTTTTCTTCAGTCATGATTTCGTCAAAATTGGCCCCATTGATAGTAATCACCAGTTTTGAGAATGTAAACAATGATCATAACACTATCATGATCACTACATTCTATTTTATATGAGCTACAAAGAAATTCTATGAATTGATACTAATGGTGTTTGTAACAAAGTAAACACTTCTGACAAGAGGAGTATATTTACTATGGGAAAGGCACAATTAAGTTCTTTCAGATTGTTCTTTCACGCATAACTAAGATGGTGCCAGTATTTCAAAGCAAAACTTCACAAAACAAATTACCACATACAGATACAACTTAAGTGATTTGGCTTGTGAATGGTTTTAATATCCTCTGTAATTTATGAGAAAAACAGTAAGAACTTCCAGGGCCTGACCCTTCTTCCCAACAAATTAACATGAAATCTGTTACTAACTTCAAGAGGCTGTTGTTCAGAACCCAAGAATATACAAAATCGCAAAAAAAATATGTAAGGTATTAACACATAAACCTATGGAGCACAGTTACTCCATTATGCACTCATATGTAGCTGTGCTATTTGCACAGGAGTAAGAATAAAAACCAGTCACTACTTACAGAACAAGTTCTACTGTTCTAATAACATACATTTTTATTTTTTTTTTTTTTTTTTTTTTTTTGTATTGGAATCATCAAGAGGGCTGTTTTCAAAATAAGAGTTCAACATTTAGGTAGGATAAGCATAGACTTTGTCTCCCCTTCAGGAAATGAAGAAAGAGAAAAATGGAGCAGGACCTTTGGAAACCTTTAAAGACAAAAAGCACAAAAATCTTAGATATGCCAGTTGTGATGGAGCACAGGAGGAGGAAGACAAGCATTTCTGAACAAAAGGAACTTAATAAAGTGACAATACCATATTTGCCCTTATAAATACGTAAAAATATCAACATGCTCTTATTGGAAAACAGAACATGGAAAGACACAAAATTCTTGACTTTATTCCTACATGTGAACAGAATTCTCAGGTAGTTTTTCCATTTTGATGCTTTCAAAAATCCTAGGATTTAAGTAACTGAGAAGTCCAATTAGGATATTAATATTGTTTAAAGGGATCCAGACTTTTTGCACTTTTAACTAGGAATTTATAAGAGTTGCTCATGTTGTTTTGACTTAGAACACAGCATCTAAGGAACTTTTGCATATGAAGGAAATGCCTCTACAGAGAAACTTTTGAAGCCCAAGTTCTTCATGGCTAGTTCCCTATGGGAAAGTATTATCCTGCACAAGAGATTTAAATAATCCTTTATCTAGTAGGATTTACAATAAAAATAACATTGAACCACTTCTGCTACCTGTTACTTAACACATTTTTACCTTAATTTTAAATATTTCCAACAGAGATTAAAAAGTATTTCCTTGAATGGCACAGTTTTAGGTACCTGCTATTTTTATATACAGTATATATATTTGTTTATAAATAACTGTATAGCCAGAAGATTGCACTCAGAAAATTACAATATGATGTTTCAACATGTTTGCAGCACGAAGTCTAATAGGAAGGAGTGCTCTAGTTTTCCATGCAGAAGTACATAGCAGATGTTTCTGATTTCTCATTTTCTTTCTGCTTTTAAGAATGTGTTCACACAACCATTCTTCGAATTCCACACTCACAGCAAAACTTCGCCCATTCCACTGGGTACCTTGTCCCACATTCATGGCAGAACTTTGATAACTGTACAGGTGAATTTCCTTCGCTGCTTTTTGAACTTCCTCCATTGACTGAGGATGCGTAGTCTCCACTGTCATACCCAATTCTACCATCAGACCTGAAAATCCCAGATAAAGAACATTCTCTGTAACTGAATTCAGTGTAACTCGATGCAAAATTATTCTAATCCTTGCAGTGAATTACTGCTACTGTTACTGTCGTTTTCATGCTTACACTTCCTATTTATTTACAGTGGTATACCTTATAACTCTACCCAGAGTCCCCTACTTATCTCCAGATACCCACCATTCCTGCAACAAAACAAAAAATGCCAACAATTTAGGAGCAGGACCAAATATCTGATTCACTACTTAGATTAACTGGAGTGTTTGAAAACTTAACTTGTCAAAACAAGAATGTTTAACACAATACAATTTTTATCCTACCCTTTAAAAGTACAATTTGTGTGCTTAGCACACAAACTTCATTCAATTTCAAGTGAACCACCCACTTTCCATTTGAAAGATTTTTTTTTAACAGATCCTAAGAGGTTCGTGGCATTTCTAACGCTGCCTTCTGTGCACATCTGAGACAGCTGATGACAAAGGTGTTCTGTTAGATTATAAATATGCAAAATATATGGAGTATCTTAAACATGCCAAATAATATTGACTATGAGTTATCTATTAACTGCAGAGAACATTATTTTCCCCAACTTCTTTTGTAATAAGTACTCGCCATTAATGGAGGCTCTATTGCTGACAAAACCCACAAAGTTAAAAGCTACCTTGAGTAACTGTCTGAATTGCTAGTTTTCCTTTTGTTTGTTAGAGCACCCGTGCTCATGGTTCTTGCCACACTAGGAGGGGTTGATGTCCGTGTTTTTGTTGCACCTCTAAAACAAAATAAATATCTGATGTTTTATATATAGACACAGAAATATATATAAGAATATGAATTTACGAATAATATAAAAAAATTAGCTCAACAATCTACATGTCAATTAATTGTATGAAAAATATAACTTATTTCCTAATAAAAGCAGACAGAAGAGCTTTGGCATGAACTTATCATGGTTTGGAATGAATATGACTTGAATTTACAATTACAAGCTAAATGGAACAGCAAGTCCCTTCCTGTACATGTGTTTTACTTGCTATCATACCAAAATACAGGTAGATCCTGCATTACTGGTTGTTTAGTATGTTCTACTGTCTACCTTGAGAGACTAGAAGGCACTTTTTAGGACTGGCAAGGCTTTCAGAGAAATTGAGAGCAGCTGACTGAAGGTTTTAATAGTTTAAAAAAATGTAGAAAGGATACCACAACCTCAATACTTTGTGTCCAGTACAAAGTCAGTCACATGATTTCTTTTTCTTCATAACCGCAGACTTTTTTAGGAAGCATTCTTCTCAGATAATGCTGTAGATCCTCTTTCTTCAAAGCATTAATATTATATTTATAAACATAAATAGAAGGAGGAGAGGAAGAAGTCTATCCTGGGCATCAGGGCCTGATTTTTTTTCTAGCTTGTTACAGTGTTCTTAAACTTGGCTTCCATAGTATGATCCCTTAGCTGTGAAAGCTGCTTTGCCTAAGACACACTGGGTTTATGATAAGCCAGTATGTGATGAATAGCACATCCTAAACATACAGAACATGTCACTGCTTGCTTTGATGAGTAGAGAAACATGAGAATCTCCTGAAAAATATGAGCAGCACTAAGAAAAAAAAAGATAGGAAGGGGCATCCTTTTACCATCAGTGACCAAGGAGAGAATTTTTCATCACTCCTCAAAAGAATTACCATTCACTGGGATTTCTTCCTTGTTAAGACTTCAGTGACTATGACATCTTGTGCATGACCTACTAAGTTTTTCTGTTTTCATTCTTGAACACTGATTCATAAATGAAATTTAAATTGGGACTGGCTCATGGCCATTAAAAAAAAATGAAAACAAGACATCATTAAAAAAATTAGTTCACCTAGAACCCAATCAACAACAAAAAACCATGTGATCATTTTTTTCCTTCTCTTCAGAGGAAACTAACTGCTTCTTTCAGAATTATCAACAACTTAGTCTTGGTTTGGTTTTCAAAGTATATATAAGGAAATGCATTTAACTCCATTAGCTTCAACTGCAACAGTGGTACAACTGAGGAAGCATGTAATAACTCCTGAATTTTAGGCATGTTGCATAAAACATTCCTTCCTTCCTGTTAAGAGCATATGCTAAAGATGGCTTTTCAGCTCTGTCCATCACTTAAAAAACTTCAGTGGAAAAGTGATCAAATGATTAAGCACAAAAATGGATATCAGAAACTAAATTTAAATCAAGTGAAATTGTATCTAACTAATGTAATCAAGTTCAACAAGAATGGCTTCTACATGCAACAGGTAGAGTGGAATCATCAAAGATTCTGTTTCACTGGGTAGAATACCAACCTTCTCCATTAGTTTTCCTGACTTCCCCCTTATTATTCTAAAGATTCTAAAGACTGTTTTATTAAAAAATTCCCCCAACAACTTTGTAGACTGAAAAGCACTACATAAGTTATATCAGAATTAAAAACTTTAAAAAGTTATGTCAGTCTTTCAGAAGTTACAGAATTCCAGGATAAAAGTTACAAATCTAACTTAAATTACACTGTTACAAGTATGTACAACAGTACAGATGCTAAATACTCTATCTGGTATTATTTCCCCTATCTTGTTTTACACTGAAGAGAGACCTTTGCTTATAATGGAGTATAATTAATTAGAGTTCAATAGCAGAAAGAACACACCGGACTGTTACTTTACTTGTTATGGAAGCTAGAAAAGCGTATAAAGACAAATTCAGCTGTACACAGAAATGGTATGGATCATCATGGATCAAGGATGATCAGTGATGCAAAGAACAGAGCTGTCTCTCAATACCTTTATAGGCAACTCCAAGTAATTTAAAACAAATTTTTCAAAACTATTACTGAATCATTTTTCTCTGGATTTTCAACTTGGGACCAACATACTACTTTTTCAAAACTAAGAGCATTAATGTCTTAAACTGAGGTCTCTTCAGGGCGTACTTTTAATCAGTCATTTTTGAACATAATGATAGGAGTCCTACATGTTTGAAAGAAATTAACATGAAACATTGTCCACTATTCTTCCCTGTATTTCATCTGTTCAGTTCTCTAAAATATGTGTAATACACCCTCATCCCACTAGGTACTCTGAAAATTCACCTGATGCTTTAAATACTGGGTGTATACTAAAGAAATTTCCCAGAAATCAGCACCCTAAACACATGACTTGTATTGTGTAGTACAGCACACAGGTCACTGCTTCAACCAGGGTGGGGACAGGGGCAAGGGGAAATCAAAAAATTGAAAAACCACAAAGTGCACTGTGCACCTTGTCTATTGAGGGAGGCAGAGTCCCATGAACAGATAAAACATCATTCAAGGTTTAACAGAATGTCTTCATTCTAAAATGTTTAAAGATAGCTCTCTGCATAATTTCTGCTTTTTTTTTCCCAATTAGTTTTCTAAAAATACAGAAGAAAAATTCTATTTTCAGACTAGAAACTTTAGTATGAGTCTTATAATTAACTGCAGTGATTTCTGCCATTGTTGATGAGTAAATCAACAGAAGTAGCAGGTTGTCACTGTCTATTACTTTATTCATCCCAGATCTAGACAGATAATTAGCATCAGGATTCATGCATATTTGATGAAAAATCTTGAAATTGCATCCTTAAGTTGCGATCTGATTCTAGAGACAGATGTCTTCCGACAAAGTCAGACATTCACGATTATCGCAACTTTTGCCATCACAGCTTGGTCTCTTCTCATCTGTCCAACCTCTGCTGCTTCTATCTACTTGTCCAGTTCTGGGTTTTTTTCTGTTTTGTTGGATTGTTTTGTTTTGGTTGTGCAAAGCTATATAAATCCCTGTTCTAAGTTGTATCACGTGAAGTATTAATGGAGTCTGACAACAGATGTGGCTGTGTACCAATGCTACCTTCAACTCTTAAAATCTGGACATACCTTTAAAAATGTTTATTAGCCATTTTCAATTTCAGAAGAAATAAGATAGAAGAAGACTTCCCTTCCCTTCCCTTCCAAGCAGCTCACGTTGTACATCTAGTTTAATTACCACTACTTGCCAAATGAAAAACTGAAAGAAATTTGTTAAAGCAGCTTGTCGTTTTCTATTTACACATTCACAATATGGTTGGATTTTGCTATAAAATATGGAAATATTAAGCATGCTTCCTAGACAGGGTGTTTTCAGATATTCTTGACAGCTATCACTGTCACCCAAACCAGCTTATAGTTCCGTGCAAAATCGTAAATAAGTCCTTATGACTAATGGCATGCATGCCAAAGTCCAAACTTTTGCCATAAACAGTAAGTAGCCACGTTGCCATGTTGAATTTAACATAGCAGGCTAGTAGCTATTCACATTTGTCAAATGATGCTGGCTGAATAACCTCCTATAAGGAGGGCAGATTTAATTTGTGAACTCAGTGGACATCTGAGTAAGAACAGTAATGTTAGGAAGAGCAGAATAAGTAAAAAAAAAAAAAAAAAAAAAAAAATATCAAATCACTGCTCTATGGATAGGGGCTACTGTAAGCATGTTTACTAACTCAATAAGCTGAATTTTCAACATCTTAGTAATATACTATAAAAACTGATCTAACTTTTGATGGTTCACAGGATTTATAGCTATAACCAAACATGAAAAACAACAACAATAAAAATCTGTTTGTCTAAAAAGAGCTCCTCCCCCTTTCATTCCTTTTGCTTTTTAAAATAGAAACACAAGTTCAAATATTCTGGCCATGTCTCAAAGATACTTCAGCTTTGGTTACAACATTAAAACAGCAATAAGAGATTTAGACACAATTATACTATTTAAAGCATTACATTCTCTGTATAAGCCACATAATTCACTACTAATTTATCTTTTGCAATATGCTTTAAGGTATTGTTTATGAAGGATCAGCCCATTTGAATTTGGCATCTTCCACATTATAATAAAGGGTTAATGACAATATATTATCTATTTCCCTTTTAAAAGATTGGAATACCATTTCTTTCAAACTTAAATCTTAAACTTGCTGAATATTTGGAAGCCTTTATATGAGATAAATTAAGACTTAATAAAATACTTTACCGCTCATTACAAAGTCTGCCTTGCTTACAATTTTGGACCACCATAGCTATCCCTACAGAAGTAGGGGATAGATGACTAATTGACTTTAAAAGAATAAAATTACTTCGTCATAAAACAGTTGACTGGAAGGCAGATATTTGTACAGTTATTGGGCTTAAATGCTTACTTCAGCTTCATATCATGCAAAGTTAGTTTTATCTCAGGTTTACAAAGATAGAAGTTCACTACTCTTGGCTCTTAATCAATCAGTGACAGAAGACAAAATCTGAGAACAGTTTTTGTCTTTCCTGTCCTACTATGAAGCTGTTCTCCTAGCATGAAACAAATATTATACGAATTATATTACATACTCTTCTCCCACAACATTTATATTGAAGACACATGGGGCAGCAGATGTCTGTCAAGGTCACACTTTTACTATTCCAATGCTTTGGAGGAACATTTCTGCAAAACAGATAAGCCACGCTGATTTGTAATACTTACTTCTTTATAGGCAACAACTCATTTGGTCTTTTGATGGTACTGTCTGTTTTTGTATCACTGTCATAAAACCATTGCACATTTCTTCCGGTTCGCAGTGGTGGGCCTAACTTGTCCATCTTACTACTAAAAATATATAAAGGGGTACTCATAAGGAGATTGCTAGATTGCTACTCAAGATACTGCAAAAAAAATTAAAGTATTCACAATTAAATATTTATATACTCACAAAGCATTCCCATTGACTAAAAAAAAACATGTACAAATCAGATTTTAATAATCCAGAAAACAAAAGGGTTGTTCTTACTTTAAAGAGGAGAGGACTGCATATACTTGGATTAGGTTTCCAATGTATTTTTTTATTCTTTTTTAGAAAAAACAAAAACCTAATGTCAGTTATCCTCACAATCTGTACAATGCAATACACAGAGGCAATACTTTATTATTATGGATAACATTTCCAAATGGAAAAGAATAAACAAAAAATCCAATTTTAAAATATTAAACAATTAAATTTTTAAACACACCCCCCCCCCCAAAATAAAACACACCACCATCCCTCCCATACATCATCATAAGGAGAATTGTGGTTTTTAAGAAATCACAACTTATATTAGAAAAATTAGGTCAAGTGAAGTTCTGAGTTTTTATCATCTTAAACTATACAGCAAAACCTGCAAAAAGCCCACTGTATCTCTTCCCTTACTTCAATAATGTAACTGATGTTTCTTCTCAAAGACTAGTAACTTAAGTCTTAACTGGAAAACGATGACACTTACATTATTTTTATTAATCTTTCTGAAAATAAAGAACTATAAACAAACCAATCAAGATTAATGGGAATCTCTGGGTAGCTGAAGCTTAACTATTCTGTAAATTTCCCACTCCTAAAGAGAAGTCATAAGGAAAAAACAAACAAGCAAAGCCAACAAAGCACTCCCTCACACCAAAAGAAATAATTTCTTAACATTACTGTGCAGTTTTCCAATTCTTGTCATACAACCTTAATAAACTACAATGCCAGGAAAATTACTAAACAGCTAATTGCTGCCAAGGAAACATTATTTTCAACACAGCTTTTAATATACTAAAAAAAAAACAAAACAAAACAAAACAACCTCTTTTGTATCTCCAATACCCATGTCATACTACTTTTAATATGATGTTATTGTAAAATGAATACGAAAAGGCACAGAACTGTGAAGTTTGCAATGTAATTTGTTTTTTGGGAAGCTTCTGCTGTGAACCTTGCAACCCACATCACATCTCTAAAGCATGAAAGGAAATCTCCCCATAAAGAACAAAAATTCGACAATGTTGAATGATATTCTTTCATTATAAAGTCATCAGGGAACACTGAGATTTTAGTCTTGACCATTTAGCCCCAAATAATGCAGGCTGTAAGATAAGTTCTTCTAGACTTACACTTCCCACTCCTCCTCCCAAACAGATATTCTAGTTCAAACTAATTAAGTCCGGAAATGCTTAATCAATTCCTGTTTTACCAAATGCACACTTTTTATATATTTCCCAAGGACTGAGAGCAAGACAGGTCTTTTGACACTGCAAGACATACACTAACCTATTATGATTTTCTTAGCTCTTTTCTGAACCTTTAAGAATTTATCAACATAGTCTGTGAACTGCAGTCACCTGCAGCATAGAATACCACAATAACCTAGAAGCAGTCATGATATCATGAAAATAAAGAACTACAATATTCTTCCACACTTAAAAAAATAGAAATAATAAAAAACCCTCCCAAAGCTGACAGCCCTTTCATGTACTAACGAAAAAAGCACAATCATAAAAATATTCTGAAATGCAAAGACCACCACCAAGACAACTTATTTACCTTGATTTCACTGAACAAAGTAAGTTACAGTGTTAATGAAATGAACAAGGTATTCTAAAAATACAATGGTTTTACAGGCTACACATGCTGTATGGCAAATATATAAGTGGAATTAAAAATTTACTGATACTGGTTAAGTGTGCCACACATTGCATTTCAGCTGTAAGACAGTACTGGATGTGTTACAGATGTATTTCCCAGCAGTCATAAATCTGACCAGCTTAACATGAAATAATGTTTTATCCCCAAAATAAAAATGACAAAGCAACTTCTAAGGGTTCATTTGCCATATTGAAAACATCATGTAATTTTCCAAAACCCAGTTTTAAAAAAATTAATATATTGTCCACAAATGAAACATGCATAAACAATTAATCTGTACATGCAAAAGATCCCTGGCTGGCCACAAACAATGGTGTCAAGTTCTGCTAGGCAAAACAGTTTGCATATGGGGTTGGAGTTTGCCTGTTTGCTTAGCCTTAGGATAGGAAGATCCTACCCATTTTTTTCTCCTGAAGATGCAATTACTTCTGACAGCTTACTAGAACCACCCTACCCCTCAAGAAATGTAAGACAGTGTTCAACTCTGTACGCTTACAAAATATGTATCAAACGTAGGATCTTAACATGATTCACTATCCAAATATAAGCCTAACTACAATGTACGTAGAATTAATTTTCCTTTTCCCAGTTCTTCAACATCAAAAAGATGACATCCTATTTTCACACAATAAATCAAGGTTTTCCTACTGACTACAATACAGAACCACATGCTACTCTTGAACTCTTACTTGCTTCTCTAGGACTCAGAAATTATGTCCCTGTGCTACACTTTCATTAACACTTATAACTGGCTATGCTCTTACTCTGTACAGGCAGAAAAAGACAACTCTCACAGCAGAGCTCAGATGACACATCCTGATCTATGTGTACAAAGTAAGCTTCACTAACGCTAACCTAGCTTATGTTGATGCTGCTGTGGTGTGCTTTCAGAAGTTTTTTACCTGGGGAGCAGAAGAGAATTCAAATAAAAAAGCATAGCAAAAAGGACTTAAAATAAGGAAGTTATAAAACTTGGTTGCATTTCTGATCATACAAAATAAAAAATTATACTGCGATATTGAAGTTGAACTTTATATGAAATTAAGTTCAAGAATCCTTTACAGAACTAAACACCCTAGGGACCCAGTTCGTTTTAGCACAACCTTTAACACAAAGGCACGAATAGCGTCATGTGGCTTTCACAACAGTTTCAAGCAGCAGTTCAAGAGTGCCACCTAAAGAGCAAGAGGGAAACTGCATGCCTGTATATGTTAATCACTTCTATTCCATTAGTCACCAGATAGTAATTTCTCTCTCTGCATATTCACCACAGACAACAGGTACCATGATTCTCAGTGTCTGATTAAATCTCCCCCCTCCAACATATATATAATTCATCCTTGATACTGCACAGTATAATTTTAATTCTACTATTAAACCTCACTACCTCTCTGCCAAATCTCGAATTACATCTAGGAAGGTTTCACTTAATTAATATATAAATTAAAAAAAAACAAAAACAAAACAACAAAATTACCATTTCCCTCTGGAAAAACTGCAGGAGCTTGTTTCTTACAGCAAAAATTGGAATTTTACCTGGCTCTTAAGTACTTGCCATGGGAAAAAGAAAAAGAAATTAAAATCACATGATCCCTTAGCATTCTGTTTGAAAGATTGCCCTTAAAACAATGCATGTGCAACACTGCTTGGTAAATCAGTTCACTAACAACTCAGAAGGATGAGCTTGATATCTTACAGCATGAGCTCTGCATGACTTAGGTACAACAGAATCCCAGATATCATGCTATGCCTTGTCATTTTACTGGTCAAATCATAAATGTAACCGAAGAAATAAATTTTGTTTCATCATAATGAAGGTTATTTTAATGAAAATTTAAAAGTGCTTTTATTTTATAAAATAATCCTAGCTGCAATTAACTACAGCCTAAATTGGAAGATGTTTTAACGTTTAAAGTCTATGTCACTAGTCTTAACTATTCTCACTCTGACTTAGGATGTTGACTGTTAGTGTATCTGTCCCTGCTCTGATATAATTTTGTAGTTATTTCAACAGAATCCTACATATTTCCTCCTCACATACCAATAATAAGGCTGAAATGATTAAGGCCAAAATTGTCTTTAGTAACCAATCTGAGGCACCTAACTCTTCCATGTTGTAACATTGCTTCAATGTAACTCCCCACAAACTTTTTCTCAGAAGTAAATACAAAAGAGCTAAAAGAAAAAGGAAGAATTGCTAGGTCTGACTATAACACATTTAACAGCCATCTGTGAGAAGATCAGTTAGTATGACCAGCAAGAAACCATAAGAGCTGGCTGACAAAGACAAGAGAACAAGTTTTTTAGAGCACAAAAGTGAGAACTGCAGGCAAAACACATTCATCACATCCTTACTCTTAAAAACTGGAAATTGCATAGGCAATTAAGTGAGGTTATAAACCAAGCTAACTTTCACTGTCTCTCAGCAGAGAACATTAACTGAGAGCTATGCCAAACCAGAAGTCATCTATTTGCAGTGGACAGCACATGTGAACAGAGAGAACCTGTGCAAACATCCTTCCACATATTAACTAATATTTGGCTTGGTCACCTCACAATTTTTCCTCCAAGCTTCAAAAGAGGTAATGAAAGACTACGGAATACATACTAGCAAGTCCAGTGAGCAACTGACTGGTAAAATTAAATAGAACTTCCTTGTTAAGAAGTGAAGACCAAAACCTGTGCCTTGTCACAAACTGCAGTTGAAACTCTTATCAACAGGAAAAATCCTTTCCTAGACAACTGGGATTCATCACTGAGGTCACAAACAAGCCTTCAAATTATCTCAGCTGACTTTTTATTGTGGTTTGCAGACCTACTTGTTTGCCACTCATCAGCAGGTGTTAATTCAACTTCTGAAAACAGAGAAATATGATATAAAAATCAGTCAATGAATAATAGAGGGTGGGATTTTCTGACAGTTGAAGCATAGATGCCTACAAACAGTAGTGAAGCTGACCTGTAGACCGAAGACTACTAGGATGCTGTGGGAAGGGTGGACAGGGGACAGGGGCCAAAATAACAAAAAAAAGTCTTTTTGACAACCTCATGGAATCTGCTTCTTGTCTGTATCTGAAAGACTCAGTACGAGTGGGTAGAGCAAGGAGGCACAAAACTTCATCCTCATGCTACATGGTGTTAGGAGGGAAGTATGATAGAGCTGTTAATTCATACTTGTGCATAACTTGTAAGACTTAAGAATGATAAACTAAAAATCACTAGTTCTGTGCAATTAATAAAGCTGTCCATACATGAGTTCTTTCAGAATGTCATTTTTCTTCCTCACAAACTTAAGCCATTGTTTTTCTCCACCAATCTGATACTCATTTTTATAAAAATAAGTCTTCTTCAATCACCAATAATCTAACTGCAATCACTTTGTTGTATTTTTTACATTTTTTCTCAGTGCTCCTTGGTGCTCCTCAAACTTCTGTAAAATTGCACTACTTTTCTTCAATCCCTTCCATACATTTCTTCTTTGAGATAGTGTGCACTGGCTACCTCCCCCCCGCCCCAGCACAATATCAGTAACAGCCTTGATTACGCCAGCACTTTCACCTAACTCTAGTAATATACATCTACTACTTCTTGTTGCTGTTGTAGAGCACTGGTTTTTACTGACTTATTTGTGCTCCTTCATTTGTTGTCTCTTGGGTATTTTAAGACAGGAAAGGGAAGAGGAAAAGTATCCATCCTTTTGTGCTAAGAGGGAAGATCCTGTCACAATTGGCTTGTGGTCTGTGGCAGAGGCCTTTTTCTTTTATTTCCACAAATTGAAGGAAGTTATGCCTAACGTTTTCTCCTTTTAAGTCTCTTTATTCCAGAAGAAAAAAATCATAACTCCAACCACTTTGGCATATTCTATAAATTTTTAGTCTACTTTATATCACACTTGACCTCCTTTGCTGTTAATTTTAACATCAGAAAATGCATCTTTGTCTACATCAATGCTCCTTAAACATTAATGGTGTTTATAAATAAAGGATAAATTCAAAACACAACACTTGTGAGGCTCACAGTGAAGGGAAAAAAAAAAAGGCAAATGAAACAGATCACAGAGACTTCTAGAACTAGCACAACATAAATATGAAAAAGTATAAATGACAACATTAAATGGAAACTTACCCTGCTTGTGGGTTCACCATTCCCAAGGAGTTTTTATGAGCTGGTGATAATGTCTGAATTTTGCTCGCACTGGGCCCAGATGAAGATAGTGCTTTATTTGAAGAGGCACCTTGCAGTTGAAAGCGAGCATGGAAATATAAGAAAACATAAGATTTCTGCTGCTGGAATGATACAATTCATTATATATGTTTTGATTGTAAAATTCAAAACAGGAGTTTTAGAAAAAAACAAAGATATGAGGAAAAAGCCAGTATGTTTCCAGAAATTTACAGAAAATATGCAATTGAGATGTAATGCTCTATTCTATAGAAAATGCCCTGAATTTCAATTACTTTCTTCAGAAAGAAAAAGGAAAAAGTCTAGAGTGTCAAAGTATATACAAACAGAACATGTTTGATATCTGACGATATCTGAAATCAGATTAAGATCAGTGTTTGCATAATTACAATATAGTGGGTGTGACTACATATTTTCACCAATTCATAAATCATATTTGGCATACAAATTAGTTACAGAATTAAACAACAGAAAAGTGTCAGATGAGAGATCAGTATTCGATACAATTACACATTACTACATAGAATGATTTTGCAGGTTCAACTCGGAAAAAACTTAATTTGATCCAATATATAAAAACAGAAGAGAACCCTATGTGTTCAAGAGTCTTGTTGGGTAGATGCCAATCAGAGCCCCTTCCAACTTTACTTCAAATGAATTTTTACAAACCATTATATCAATTTCAACAATAAACTATATAGCTATCATATATGTAAGTCAAAAAAATCAGGTGACAAAAACATTGATTTAAAAAAATTGTATTATGAAAGACAGACACTATCTTATCCACTCATGTAACACTGAACTACATTTTTTTTTTTTACTTTGTCAGTTTAAATCATTGGGCAATGCTGTAGAAATCCCTCCAGCTATTAAAATGATACTACTTATAATCCATGGTTTGAGAACTAATATTCAGAAAGGAAATGGAAAATTCGTAACAGTTATTTCATACCTACAACAGTTTTGCTAACACCACTTGGCTGTGGTAAGCGTGATGATGATGATGATGGTGTTGATCCTACAGAAGGCATCTTCTTAACTGCAGCAGGTTTGTACTGTAACAAAATACAACCTAGAAATTTAAGCAATTAAATCAAACTATCTATATAACAAGATAGGTAGTTAGGTACTGTGGGAAAACACAATGATAGGTACTGTGGGAAAACACAATGATTATCTACTAGGTAAACTGTTTCTGCTATGGGATCATGCAAATGGTTTCTGCTAGTCTGCTTTCTTACATACAGATGATACTAGTATATGATTATCTAACTCAGTGGTTTTGGGTTTTTTTCATTTAACTGTATGTCTTTGCGTGCTTCCCACTTTTCTACAGCTTTTCTCACCTTCTTCCACAGCTGTCTCACAAGATTAACATTATTACCTCATTTCCAGTTAATTTTAAAAAGAATACTCAAGGGCAGGATCATTTTTGTCTTTCAAATCTTACTTTCACCTGTGTGCGCTGGACCAGTCCCAGCACTGATTCAGAATACAGTGCAAGACAACACAAGCAGTTACTCTGTGATGTTCCACTCTTCACAGCTTCCAGAAAAAAAAAAGAGCATTACCACTAAATGAAACACACACGTTAATCCTTCATTTGTTGCCACCATAAATCAACTACTGCAGCTCTTACCTTAATATATCTGAATTACTCTAAGCTTCTAATTAGCCAAACTATTGCTGTCAGTTGTCCTGTAGTCATGTACCTTTGTCTGCTTAAGGAACAGCCTTGAATTGAATCCGGAAGACTTGCACAACAGAAATTCAACTTCCTTTACAATACTGCATCTCTACTTCCTGCTACTACCCTTAGCGGTCATTTTCACAAATATCTGAATTACATTTATGACTGGTTTTGGCTTTGCAATTGCTGCCATCTGATTTATGGATCTCTTCTCCTCTTATAAGAAAGCAAAAACCTCTTCCATGTTTGGTGTCTGATTTCAGTCTAGCACAAATAATAAGATTACAGAATAAAACAATTCCATTTAAGAGCAACACCCTATGTAACAAGCTTGATTTGATGTTGAATGCAAGCTACAAGTTAAGAAAAATGTGGTAGTTCACCTGTGTTCGTGTAGGAAGCTTCCCTTTGGTATCAGCTGCCGATTTCCCTTTATTAGTAATACGTGCTGCTTGTTCCTTACAGAAATTGATGTGTCTGTCAGCTGCATTTTCATTAAATCTCCTCTGACAATATGGACACTGAATGTAATCTTAAAAACATAAAGAATGAACATTAATAATGCATTTTAAAAAGTGTTTTAAAGTCTTTTAAAGACCAGCTCCAGCCCCACCCCCAGAGAAAATTAAGGCCTCTTGAATCTGAAAATCAAATATGAATTGCAGGGGAAAATAATATTGTCCACATAAGATGTTTCTTGTTTGATGGATATAAATGAGAAGAGTGCTTGAGGATCATAAATAACCTAAGCAAAACAAGAAACACTTTGAGAGATGCTATTCAGCAGAGAAGGTGACGAAAGAGGCATATGGACATGACAGGAATATTAGTTGGAAGGAAATGGAGAAAAGAGGAAAAAAAGAAAAAAAAAAATCACAAACAATTCAATTTGTTCAAGATACGAAAATGCATTAAAATCTTTCCCATACAAACAGCAAAAGACAACAAAATCTCCTTTTTCTGGAAATTTTGAAAGGACTGATAAAAATTAACTGCAATATTGGAGATGATCATTAAAAAAAATAAATTAGAAAGTTAAGAAAAAAAATCAGAGGAAATCCAGACAATATTAGGATATATCTATGAAGACATGCAAAACAGAGTAATTGGTGGCTGTGTTATTTTTCAATATTTATTTAGTCACATTACAAACAGTACTACTTATAGGAAATATTACTAACATTGGGGAAAAAACAGAAAGGTTATGTAAATATTTAAAATATTAAAAGATCCCTCATCTGTATGCTGGAAATATACCCCTTAAAATACACTGCCCTTGGAAAGTAAAATGTTTGGACTGTAGTTTCAGATAGACAATTTTAGCATCTAGAAATACAGATCTTGAATTCCCCAGATTACAGTATTCAAACCCATGTAAACATCAACTTCAGAAGAGCTGGACACTGGCAAAGCAAGTTAAATTAGTGTGTTTCTAGGTGATTTTAGAAATATATCGCAGAAAATGAAGAGATATTCCACAGTCACAACCTCATTACAGTTAGATATCATACAATCCAAAATAAGGTCTGGATTACAAATTACTATTCCAAATGCAGCAGATCTGTCTTAAATAGTTATCTCTTTAAATTAACAAACAATTTTGAGTGAGTCAAATGATGTAGTGGCCACCAGACTATGAACTGTAACCCAAAGTGATCAAAGGACACAGAAAGAACAAGGAATTCTTCAGAGAAATGACACCATGGGAATCCCCTGTGATAACGATTTATTTTACATAAACTCCACTACTGTCAAAATACTCAAACATAAACTATACCTTAAGAGACAGAAACTCAGAAGCAGAACAAATGTAATATCTTCATAGTCAAACCAAGACAGGCCCAAAGTTAAAAAACCCCACACAGGTTAAAAAAAAAGCAAAATAGAAGCAGCTATGGAAACCCCTAGATAATAAGAAGAGACATTTCTAGCTAGCATACAGCACCATTCCCACAAAAGATTTTCAAAGCCCGCTAAAGTAAATGGATCAGACTGCAGAGGATTAATGTATACTCTTAAGAATCAGGGATTGTATCTTCATTCTTTTGTAAAGTGCTTGGCATCAGTTAGCCACATGGCTATCTGGAAGTACTGTTGGTACTGTCCAGAACCACTGTTAGGATTCAACATAAGCTTCATAAAATACAACTTAATCAAAATAAGAGGGCAGTACACATATGCAGTTGAGTTCAGTGCAAATGGGGTGACTTAAGGTCCTTCTTAGTATCATGAGACTATTCCACACTTCTTCTAAGGAAAAGGTGGAACAGGAGATCAAAGAACCAGCAATACTGCTTCTTTGCAAACTCAAAGCATGCAATTAAGTGGGAACTATTAAGACAGAACTCTTTACTTCTAAAGGAGAAAGACTAGCAGCTAGAGACAAGCATGCCAAAGACAGAGCTGAGTAGGAGAAGATGAATATACTCCATGATACCATGCACAGTTCTCCCTCTCTTCCACACATAAAGTGGAAAAGGAGTGACAGTAGCTGCCCTTGCTCTACTTTCATTATATTTGTGAGAAGAGAATCCACCAATCAGTTCATGCGTCTTCTCTTCATTCCTTGTTCCCTCTTCCTAAGTATTACCCACAGCAGCAGGATGAAGCTAGGAGACTAAAACCACTAAGACTCGCGTTGGAAAAAAAGTAAAAAATAGAAGGAAAAGAAATGGAGGCACAATATCTTTTCCCTTTACCTCCTATCTATTTTTAAGTGGGCTGAATAGAGTTACTTCCTTCACTTCAAATTCATCTGCGTTCTCTGGAACGAAGGGAGCGCCATTTTAGTAACTTTTCCAATCTAGATTTAGTTCTGGGCAATTCTGCTTGTAATTCAGAACCTATACAACTAGATTATTAAAGATCCTTTCCATGATTAAGCCTTATCTTCCTTATCTACAGCATCAGCTATTGGTTTTACCTTATTTTAAAATGCATATGGCATTTCTAGATAGTGTGTACTGAATGCTGAATAATACAACTTCACTTCTTACTATGAATGCACCATTACAATCCTAATGCTGTACAAACCCTTTTCCTGTAGAGAAACAAGGTATGGAACACTCACATTCTTACTTGACCACAGGCAGGCAGAAGTAAATAGATCCTTTTTTCCATTTTTCCCAATCTTTCTGAAAATAACCATTGAGCTGATCAAATGATTTAGCTCTTAGGACAAGAGGAAGAAATATATTCTCCAACCTATTACCACATCACAAAATTTAACTGAAAAGCATATTTCCTTCTCACTCACATCAGACTGCTTTAATGCTTTACCAAGCCTCAGTTCTGAAGGCACCCAAGGACTGTTACTCCTTTGCTAATAGCAATCCCACATATTTCACATAACCAAAACACAAGTACCCCCACGACATGAGGAAGGATCACATGCATACTACAGCATACACTGTGTGCATGAAAATAAATGTGAATGCAGCAAGAAATGGGAGAGAGCACATTTAAAGAACACAGCTGATGTGCATTCCTAAAATGTAAATAGATTGCGGATGTCTAGCATCAGCAGCCAATTAAAAAGGTGGTCTGCTCTTTCTGAGCAGTTACACTGTTAAGCACAGAAAGAAGGTGTTGAAACAATTTTTTCAGCCTCTGGTTTATAAGATGGTAGCAAGCTGCAAGCTGGTCACAACTACCTTTCAAACACATTAAAAACAAAGTCATGGGCTTTGAAAGCTACACAGGATGCCAGCCAGCCAGCCCCACAGTCACAAACGAGCATCTGCATAGGGATAATCAGATAGCCATCTTCAAGAACTTGTGAATACTGTATTCCAATAAATTCCTTTCCAATTCAAATTTGTAAAAATTAAGTTTAAAAAAAAAATTTCTAAAAAACTCAATTGTATTACATACCAGGGTCATATGATGGCGGAGGTGGTGGAGGGAGTTTTCCACCATCTTTAAGATTAAGTCCTTTGGCTGCTCGTATAGTTGCTATAAATTCCTCATGCTTTCGTCTCCAGTTGGAAGGTTTTTTGGGTGGTTCTGGCTAGGAAGCCAAAAAAGAAAGAGCTTTATACATTTCAATCTCTTGCTTCAAGCTAAGTATGTGTCTTATTCTAGTATACAATATTATAGTTAGTTTTCTTCCAAATCCTAGTTGATCTAATTATCACAAATTGTCAGAAGAAATAAGCCTTATTATGATGCATATATAGTTTGCCTAAATGTTCATATGAAAAGCAAATTGTAACATACCCGTGGCTTAAGAGGTTTTACTGTGGGAATGTCAGTTCCTTCTGCTCTCTGTCGGCTGGAATCGAATGTCTTCCTTTTCTTGGAAGAAGTTTTTTGGCAAATGGGTACATGCTTTTTCTACAATCAGAAAAAAACCAAAAGGTGAATATAGAACTTAGTTTTGAAAACATAAGTTATCAACATATTTCTCTCTTTCTCAATAGATCAATCAGCAAACAAGGCCCAACTCTTGATAAATAATATCAGACTGCTCTCACTCAATCATTTATGCCAGCCATTACTTTTAAAACGGAACTACAGGAATTCATGAATGCATTATAGTCACAAAAACCTAGGAGATGAAGAAGAAAAATAGGAGGCATCTGTATTTCCTCCTTGCAAATAAAAAAGCGATGGCAAGTAGGCAGCATTTGCATTAAGTGACAAGACAAATCAGAGGTGTCTGAAATGCCTATTCATATTTAAGGGCAGACCAATTTCTATTAAGACTGAAGAACACAGTATTTTGAAAATGGTTAACAAAACACTTAATTTACTATCTGAGACCACATAATGCTAGGGCTTATATCTGCAGAGGTAAGGAATGATTCTGTGACTCTAGAGAAGATGTTCTTAGAAGCATGTGTTTTCAGAAAGTGATGGGATGCTGAAATAAAATTAACCTCCTTCTAAGTAGCTTCAAAACTGGGATAACTGAAATTGATAATTATTTGGGAAAAAAAACCAACACAAAAACCCCAGCAAAACCAAGCATCTAGGTCTACTTTATTTAGCTATAGTGACCATTGCTTAACTCTCATATCAGCTTATCAGATCTAAAAGCCAACAGTGCTCATGCCACTTACCAGTGCTGCAGGAAAGAAAGTCCTTCCACAAATCCTACATGGCAACAGATCTCCAGTTTGCACTGTCACGTCACCTTAAAAAAACCCCCATCATATTTCTATAAGAAAATTTGTTTAAATTCATGATAAAAAAATATAACTTCATACACTTAGCAACAATAACAGTTGTTATTGTAAAAGCATACATTAGACCCTATAATGTGCTGCCATCAATTCTGATAACTTACAATATGAAACTCTGCACCTTGAAAAGGATGCCTGGATGTCAACATGCAAATGACAGATTCACTGTAAGTCAAAATGACAGCCCAAACACCTACTAAATATCAATATTCTTGGCATGTATTTCTGTGTCTTTGGAAGAAAATCACCTGTTACAGTATCAAATATAAGTCACATCCCATCACTTATTTTTCTCTACTAAGTTAAAGTATTTCACTTACTTTTGCAAAGAAAAAAAATCTTTAATGCTATTTTAACTATGTATTTTATTCAGATTATTATTTGTAGTTTACAAAAGCATTTCTGATGTTGCTACTCAAGCACTGTTAACAAAAATGTAAGAGGTATATTTGACATACAACAGATTCACAGAATCATACCGATGACCAACAAATCAAGGTATCCAAGCCTATGCAAATAATATTCATTCACATGATATATTCATTCACAATATATATTCATACAGTATGCATTATGCAATGGAGTCACAGCAGAGATTAAAAACTCCAGAAGGTTTCCCAATAATAGGCATCTATTATATTTAGTGCTGTACCAGAGGGATATTTTTATATCATGTATACATCCAGAAAGAGATATTAAGTTTGAGAGACACTAGTTGCTTTCTCCGTACTCAGTCTGACTATTGCAAACAGTACAGATCCCTCTATTTATACAAAGTTAAAACAAAACCACTTTGAATTGACTTGTATTTCAGACAAACCAGTGGCTTAAACTAATAAAGTTATGAACACAGCAACGTTCAATGATCTGATCAGTGAATGGTGAAATGGTGAAAAACCATTTTCCATCTAAACACACAACTGTAGGACCAGTCCTAAAGAAAATAAGTAATTTAACAAAATGTTTCACGGCAAACACATGTAGATTCAGGCCGCACGGCTCCCGCTGAAAACCTTTTTTTCCAGATAAAAGATTAAAATCGAGTGAGATTTCTAGTACCCATACGTAGCTATTAGGTCTATATCTGCCTTTTTCAATTACTTAAATGAAATTCATAATCAGTATTTAACTATGTATAACATATTAATTGTATGAACATATTAAAGAGCACAATCCATTTAAAAAAAAAAAATCACAAATCATATGAAAAGTGTTCTGCAGTTTAAAACATCTGTGATCATATCTTCAATTTATATACCTTTGCCATGTAGGCATGAATACACCCTTGTTACAGGATAGCAAGACCATACTGACAGTGAGTTTTACAACTAAAACCATAATCAACCTTTCTTTTGTGTCATCTAAATGTATGTGTTTAGATGTACAAAAGTAAGGGGAAGTAGGAAAGATAGAAAATATGCAGTTAAATCTTGTATTCCTTCTATTCTTGCATCTGAATTATACTTGCATATTATCAACTTTTGCTATGAACTTATTTTTTATTGTTAAGTGTGTTTTATCTCCATTTTAAACAATCACATCTGAAAACTTTTCCACAGGCCTGTTGTTGTGCTGGTTTTGGCTGGGATAGAGCTAATTTTCTTCATAGTAGCTAGTAGGGGGCTGTGTTTTAAATTTGTGCTAAAACCAGTGTTGATAACACAGGATGTTTTTGTTACTGCTGAGTAGTGCTTATAAAGTCAAGGCCTTTTCTGCTTCTCACCCCACCCCACCAATGAGTAGGCTGGGAGTGCACAAGGAGTTTGAGGGGGGACACAGCTGACCCCAACTGATGAAAGGGATAGCCCATAACATATGACATCATGCTCAGCAGTAAGAGCTGGGGGAAGAAGAAGGAAGGGGGAGGGATGTCTGCAGTTACGACATTTTGTCCCAAATTAACTGTTATGCACGATGGAGCCCTGCTTTCCTGGAGATAGCCAAACACCTGCCTGCCCATGGGAAGGGAAGTGGTGAGTGAATTCCTTGTTTTGCTTTCCTTGTGTGCATGGATTTTCCTTTACTTATTAAGCCATTTTTATGTCAACCCACAAGTTTTCTCACTTTTACTCCTCTGAGTATCTCCCTCATCCCACTGGGAAGGTCTAAGCAAGCAGCTGTGTGGGCCTTAGTTACTGGCTGGAGTTAAACCATGGCAAATGTTAATCACAAGCAATAATGTGCACACTGGTCACACATATCTTAGATGGCTGGAACCTGCCCTCACCATTTTCCTCAAGGGTAAGCAGCAACGGTTGTAAGTTTTTCTCAATTTTCCCACTCAAAACCACAAAGTATGCAGAGGTTTATAGTTTGTTTCATTATTTCATTCTTCAGCATTCTCAGCACTCTTTAATAATGCTTACAGATGTCACTGCAAACTTACTTCTGCTAGAGTTCAGTTTCTTTTTATCACATTACCTAATACAACCCTCAGCTTTGGAGAAACAAGTGAGAGGGGCATTTCATGGAAACACAGAGTGACACTGTGTCTTTAAGAAATAAGCTGAAATAAATCAGAATTAGTGATCTCGAAATCAAGTGTATAGTCAAAGAAATTGACCAAGAGAAGAATTCTTCCAAATATCTGTGATAGTAAAAGAAGAAAAGCTACAGTTTCCACCATTTTTTTTTCTGTTCAGTGAACTCTAGATTTCAAGCTTGTGTTTAAATTCACCATTAAAAGAAGGAGATTTGATAGATGCTCACCTGATCGAGCAGTATTTACATACAACATACCAATCCATAGTGAATGCCAATTAGCAGTCACTGCAGCTGCAGTTAGTTGGATTTCCTTACAGCATTCCTACCCTCCCTTGCTGCTGGCAGGTACTCAATCACAATTGCCAAGAGCTATTTCTACTGCCAACACCTCCGCCCCCATAATACAAATCACTGATCCAAAACACAACAGGAAGTTATTTAAAAAAATTAAAGTTCCTTAAGTTTTGTTGCAAATGGGAAGCAACAGTCCTTTAGATCTGTATGCTTACCCCATCAATTTCTTAGTTATTCCTCTGATTTTCCTCACCTTTAAAGTAAAAAAAAACCCAAAACACCACAAAAAAACCCACCAAAACCCACAAACAAAAAACCACAATTAAACAAAACCACAAAATCTTAACATTTCTCTCTAGCAGCCCATGAGTCTTCCCTTACAGAAGGGTTAGCAATGTCACCAACATGAAATCTGATAATTTGAAAATAAAATATGGAAATAAAATTGTGAAACCTGGAAAAGAGATGGGTTTGGAGTTTTTGTTTGTTTGGTTTTTTTTAAAAGGCATTCAGGCATGGTATCTAATGTAGTCAGTCATGGACTGACTGAATTTTGTTTTCCTGAACAAAAGTTAACAGACATGGTTGTTAAACTGGGATGTATTG